GTGTGTGTGTGTGTGTGTGTGTGTGTGTGTGTCTCTAATGTACATGAAAAAGGAAAAAGTCTCCCTCCCATCCCTAATCTGTAACTATAAATTTCCCTCTCTGGAGGCAACCAGCATGAAGTTCCTTGTGTATTGTTCCACGTATGTTCTCTGCGTACATAAGCAAATGCATGTATATAGGTATGTATATGTGTGTATGAGTTTTCATTTATTTTTTCCGTTTGTACACAGATGGTAGCATACCCTAAACATTGTTCTTTACCTTGCATTTTTCAGCATGATTGTTCCATATTGGTGCATTAAAGAGCTTTCTCATTCTTTATGTTGCATATTTTATTGTATAGATGAACTCCAAATTTTTTAATTAGTCCCGTGTTAATAGGCATTTGGGGTATTGTCAGTTTTTCGGTATTACAAACAATGCTACAATGAAGAACCTTGTATTTGTTGCATTTCACAGATATGTGACTCTACATAATAGCATTTTGTATCTATTCTGCAGGCTAGCTGCGGGCTCTACAAGGTTCTGTGCTGGCATCCTGAGCACTGCCAGACACTTGACCATCGAGCAGAAGATGGCCGACTATTCAAACAAACTCTGTCATCAGTTAGAGCAAGAAACAGGGATCCAAACAGGTAAGCATAGTCTGCCGTTTACTGATCTGCCTGTCCCCCAGACTTTTATTCAGTACTGTATTTGGTCCTCTAATGTCACTATGAGTTGGAATCAACTCAAAAGCAATGGGTTTGGTATTTGGTCCTACACCAAGTTTGCCTGGTGATGTAACTTAGACTTGGATTTTGGTCCAGTCTCTGCCAGTAGCTAGGGTATTACCTTGGGCAAGTCACTTAGCTTGTTGAGTGATCGTCAGTTTCCCTATCTATAAAATGAGAGGATTCAATCAGTATCCAAGAGCTTTTTCAGATCTTATCATTCTTATCATGATGTGAAAGTTTTCCTGGGCCATTTCCTGTATATTTCTCTCATTTAAGTATATTAAGTGGCAATACTTAACTCCTAAACAAAGAAGAGAAGAAAACTTAATTTTAGTTGCTTGACAATGAATTCATAGTTTGATCCACTGAACTTTACCAGTCACTTTTGAGTATATTTCTGGCTATAAAGCATAAACATGATTTCCCCTTGTCTGTGTAATTAGGGGGGAAGAGAACACAGAGAATTATAAGCCAAGTAGTACTGGAAAAAGTAGAAAGTGTTCCAAGAATAGGAATACTGATCTACACTATTATCCAATACAATAACAAGGTAGAAAGGGCATCTGTCAGTTTATTGTGACAGAATGGATTAGCCAGAAGTCTCTGGAGTGGGGCTGACAGCCAAGAGTTGAGCCCAGACTTTTGGGTGATGAAGCCACACTAATTGTAATGAGAAGGTAGCGAGGCCCGGTGATGAAATGCAGGGCACTTACATATGTAAAGGTTGCTCTTTTGAAGACTCTGCATGATTCAAATAACAGATGGTTCAGGACTAACCCTGACAAGGATGATTTCTCTTTCTGTTTACCAACTAAAGTGGCTCTGCTGTGTGGTCATCATGTAAGCAGTTTACAGTTTACTTGGCTAGCCAACTTGGAAATTCTGTGACACTAGCAAATTTTTAATTAGAGGAGGTGAGATTTGAATTATTTTAAATTTTGATCATAAAGTAAGGGCTTATAACACATTTCCATGTCACAGAATTCATAATTATTATTGTCACCATATTTGTAAATTGTAAACTGAGGCTAACTGTCTAGTAACTAAGATTTTATAGACATGGAAATGGAGAGAGGGGATGCCAGGAGAGGAACAAAAGGTAGGGAAGGAAAAGACTGTTTTGTTTCAGACTAGGATGAGGCAAGCCAACCTTTTAGGGCAAAAATTTTGCAACCTAGGTACCTTGCTTGCCTTGCACTAGTCTGGGCCTCTGTGTGAGCCCCATTATGTCGTTGAACTTGGCGAGGCTCCCTTTTGAGAGGCAAGGGCTCTCAAGTGCAATATTGTAAAAGTAGTTCCTGCTGGCACAGTCTCCTGCTTTTACCAGTGTAGACAGCCTCCTACCTGCAGGACAGGTAGGAAACAGTGCCTTTTAGTTGGATTTAATTTGATAGCAACAAGCTGCTTGGATCAGTTGTTGACTGGGGCTGAGTCAGAAGAGAGTCCATATAATATGCCCAGAGATGGAGCTGCTCACTTGTGGTCCAAAGGACCTTCCTTTATAGTTCAGTTACTAGTGCTCTGCTGAGTCCTGCATCACTAAGCTGGTTAGGTTCCAGAGGAATCAGGGTCAAAGGCTTCTTTTCTACAAGGTAAATCAGCTTAGCTTTAGTTCTAGGTCACAGTCTGGAACCCTTTATTTGGCCTGACTTCTCTTCGTTGCTTGTGAGGCAGTGGTGGTGGTGATAGCAAGTAAGTCAGGAAAAGGAGTATCTACTTTTTCAGGCAAAAGTTTGAGGGAATAACTGGAATGAATCCTATGGCATTGGGTTGACATCGGAGGCATCAGTATGAAATCATGGTTTTTGCTAAGAGAGGGTGTGTGTGAGAGGGCCTGGAAGAAATGGCTGATTCCTTTTGGGCTGGAAAAGTACATGTTAGTGAGCCTGGATCATCTTATTGTGCTAGAAAGTAAGGAAATGTGCTCCAAGAATGATGAAGATGTAAAAGGACATAGAAGCCATTTGAAGAAGCTCTCACTGGCCAAATCTGGGATAATTTGAGAAGAAAATAAATGAGAACAATTGATTATAGTCCATTGTATAAAATAGGAATCTATGAGTCGACTGATAAGATAAAATAAATGAGGAAGAAGGGACTGAGGAATGCCAACATAAATGTAAAGGGATGATGGAATTAGAAAATCACCATTTGGCCTCCATTATAGTAATTATGATTTCAGACAAGAATCACCAATAGATGCTATAACCACTGGGTAAAAGTTTGAAGAGAAAACAGGACATTTAAATAGTCTAAAAGTATCTCCCCACAAATTGCCTATCAATTACAAAGGGAAATTAGTAACTTTACAGTGGAGAAATCAGTCAAACATGACCTTAAGCAGGTAGTTACTGTTACTACTAATGGGAAAAACCATCGTCATGATCATCGAAAAGGAAACATCATCCTTTTTGGGGTATTCCTGCCAAAAATGCATAACCTGAATCTATTTAATTGTGAGGAAATGTCAGACATGAACAACATGCAGACTCTGCAAAATGCCTGGCCTGTACTCTTTAAAAATGTCAAAGTCAAGAAAAAGAAAAATTAAGCAGTTGTTAGACATGACAACTAAACACAGTGCCTGGCTCTAGACTGGATCATAGGCCGAGGGGAAAACAAAAAGAGAAAGGACACCATTAGGACAATTGGTTAGATTAGTGGATTAGCTAGTATCATATTAGTGTTAAATTTTCTGATTTTGATAATTATACTGTGATTCTGTATGAAAATGTTTTTGTTCTTGGGAAATGCACACCGAAGTATTTAGGAATAAAGGCACAGTGTCTGCAACTCCCTCTCAAATAGTTCGTGTGTGTGTGTGTGTGTGCGTGTGTGTAGATGTGAATAGACAGAATGAGAGAATATGAATGATAAAGCAGATAGGGAAAAATTCAAACAATTGGTGAATCTGGGTAGGGGGTATCCAGAGTGCTTTGTCTTAGTCTTCCAATTTTTCTCTAAGTTTGAAATTATAACAAAAAGTTACCACCCTCCACCCCAAAAAAATCATCCGAGAACTTTTAAAAGTGCCACTGCAGGGGCCCCACCTTCAGAGATTCTGGCTCTGTGTATTAGTCTGGGGTAGGGCCTTGGGCATGGGTAATTTTTGCAGCTTCTCAATTAATGTGTAGCCAGGCTTGACGACCACTGCAGGTTGAAATCACCTGTGTCCAGGCCTGACACCAGACAACTGAATCAGAATCTCTGGGGCTGAGGCCCAGGAATGGGTAGTTTTTCAAAACTTTGGAGTTGATTCTCATGTGCAGCCAGGATTGAGAACCACTGATTTATATAAAGCTGAAATTCACCTGACGCCTTACGATTTCTTCTCTCCTAACTGGCCCAATCCTTTGGCTTATGTTTTCAAGTTAGAAAATACCTACCTCCCAGCTTCTCTCAAGCTGTCCAAATCCTTCTCATCCTTAAATATCCTGATCCATCAACACTTCACAAAGTGTCTGTTCCAGACCATTCAACCCACATAGTTCTCATCTTTCACCAAACTTTTATGTTACTTTTGTCAGTACTGTTTATTTAGCAATTTATAATGTGCTTTTTGTAACTGGAATTTTTTTCTCTGTTACATGTTCATTTCTTGTTTCCTTAAATACAGTAACATTTTTTAATAAGAGTTCTGTAAAAGTATAAGTCTGTTTCATTGTTTAAAACTGCAGAATAGTGTTCCATAGCCTGTGCATACCATAATTTCTCTATCCATTTCTCCATTGCCTAACATGTAATTTTCATTTTTTTACTATTTATTATAAATGATTCAGTTAAGATGTTTGTCTGTATATCTTCATTTTTTCATGCTATTTCTAAAGGATAAATTCGTAGAAAAGGGATAGTTTGGGCAAAGGGCAGGCATATTTTAAACCCTGATAGATATTGCCAAATCCTGCATAAGGGCTGTACTCTCTCATCAACTGTGTATGAGAGTGCTTCTTTCTTTACAGTCTTCTCAATGTTGAATATTATTTCAATTTTTGCTAATCTGAGAGCTGGAGAAAAATTATCAGATTCAGGTTTACATTTCTTTCAATTAAACATCATTTCATAGATTTATTGGCCATTCATATTTCTTTTTCGAAGTGCCTTTTAATATTGTATGTCTACTTTTGTTTATTTTTTGATTTATAAGAGTTCTGTTCTGTGGCTATTAACCTTTGACAAAGCAAATTATGTGTCAGAATTGCTCTAGTTCAAACTTTAAAAGCCCCCTGTGAAGAAACAGTAGGTTTTTAATCTTGTTAATGGGTGATATGTTGAATTTGTTATGATATATAGTTCTGTTTTGGAGGAAAATGATTTAATATAGTGGTTGTTAGTTGTTGTCAAGTCAGTTCTGACTCGTGGAGACCCCATGTATGTCACAGTAGAACTGTGCTCTATAGGGTTTTCAAGGCTGTGACCTATCAGAAGCAGATTGCCAGGCCTGTCTTTCAAGGCAACTGTCCCGCCAACCTTTCGGCTAGTAGTCAAGTGCTTATCTGTTTGTACCACCCAGGGACTCCTTAATATAGAACAGCATGACATATTATATAGTCGTGGATACAGTGGCATTCTCCTATATGTAATCTTTGGTATGGAGTAGAAAATAGCTGCTGAACTTTTTGTCTGTCGTGGGGTGAAATTCAGGGTGTAATTGGCCCTCCAAATCATAATCCAAGATCACTGTATAATCTGGTAACCTATTTTTTAAAACCAGGCTCTGAAATTCCAGTTCTCCAACCCATATCATGTCAGTGAAGAGCATATTTATTTGAGGATTTCAAGAGAAATTAAGAAAATATTTAAATTATTCTGGCTTTACTTCCTTTTTTAAAGACGTAATTGATTCAGCTTTTTCTCTGTAAGAGCTAAGGGTCATTGTATTTTCGGAGAAGTTATTGACCAAAGTATAATAATGGTTGTGTCAGGAATGTTGATTACAAACAACAGAAATTGACTCTGACTAACAGGCAGAAAGGAATTTGTTGGAAGGTCTTGGGCCTGTGGAATTGGTGGGTCAGGAATGAAAGGAAGCATGGAGGACAAGATGTGGGGACCCCACAGCAGGCAGTCCTTCAGCTGGAACAGGAGCGTTCTGGCCAAAACGCTGCCCCAGAGACAAGTGACCTCCAGACATTGAACTATTTGCACAAAACCCAATGTTCCAGGAGGATCTGATTGCCTGAGCCTAGGTCATGTGCCCACTGTTTGGCTGTACTGGGGGCAAGAAAGGGGAGACCTGATTCCCTGATGGCTGATAGTGTGAGTGACCTTCATCAAGGATTACATTCCTGCCAAGACTAGGAGGAGAAAAGATAAAATTGCCTGAAGGAGTGAAGAGTAGGGATGGATTCAGGTAGCATTCCCCAACCCTGCCTCACACCCCAAATAGATTTTTTTAATAATGATATCTTTATTTTTTTTTAAATGCTTTTATGTACATTAGTATCTCATTTAATCCTCACAAAACTCTGAGCTGAGAATGTTTGGATAGAGAATGGAACCTTGGTTAGTGGGTGTGATATACTTTTAGTTTTTACTAGGATCTCAAAGGGAGCTAATTTACTTGCCCAGGGATATTAAGTGGCAGCCTCAGGACTCCTCACAGGTCTTCTGACTTATAGTCTAGTGCACTTTCCATCTCACCAATCTACACTGGACTTGGTCTGTCTCAGTTTGGGCTGATTTTTCGTACAGGTTACGTGAGGACAGGCTCGATCTCTCTGGCCCAAACTCAGGACCGGCTGATCTCCCTGAAGCGCATCAACTCAAGGCTGAAGTACGTATGAGGCCAGAAGCATTTGACTTTACTGTCAAACTGACCTCTGCCAAGGGGCCAGCCAGTGTCATTATCCCTTTGTGTTCTGTGGCAGTGTTATGGGCATCCCTTCTGAGATCATCTCCCCCAAGAAAGTGGCTGAACTTCACCCTCTCCTTAATGTGCACGACCTGGTGGGGGCCATGCATGTCCCTGAGGATGCAGTCGTGTCCTCTGCTGATGTGGCTCTTGCCCTGGCAAGTGCTGCCTCCCAAAATGGTAAGAGGGTTTTTAGGGCATTCTTTAGGTAGATTAGGAAGGAAGAGGTTGTCTAAGAAAATGTCTCACAATAAACAGTGATACTAACTTGGAAAAATTATTCTCATTGGGGTATTCGGTTTCCGTTTTTGACCACTGGATCTCACAAGTTTTTGGTGGAGGGGTTCCCATAATATTCATTAATAAGTATTTTTCCTCAGGTCCACATTTTTCTTATTAAAGTTCCAAGAAACTGCTTTTAGTACTAATTAATGCTCTTCAGACTTCAGGGGATATTTTTTTCCCATAAAACTTGACAAGCTCCAAGGTTAGAACACACTTTGGGGACTTAATCCATAGCTGAAATCGTGTCCCAGTATTGAAATAAATGAGAGAAAGACTTCTCAACATCCAGGGTGTTATATACTTTGGTTGAACTGATTTAGGTTGTGAGTAGATTAGAATTTAAGATGCTCCATTTGAACTTTCTCTCCTCTGCCTCTTTTATGATTTTTGGAATTTAATTATTCTGTACTGAAGTCATTTTTTAAATTGCCTGCCATTTTCAATTTTGAGAAAGTCCCATTTACACAGCCTCAAGGATGTGATTCCTAGGGCTTTTTTTTTTTTTCTTTAAATAATTAGGGCATTGACCTTGGTTTTTCACTATTTCTTATGGGTTGAGAATCTGCTGCAAATGCCTTAATTTTGGAACATCAGATGATGCACCAACTCTTTTTACCTTGGAGCAGGTGTTCAGATCTACGACCGGACAACTGTTCTTCACGTAATAGTCAAAAAAGATCAAGTCACTGGCGTGGAGACAGATAAAGGACAGATTGACTGCCAGTATTTTGTCAACTGTGCTGGTCAGGTAGGTTAGTAACAACATGGGGTTGCTGACTTCCTTATTTAACTTTTGTGTATAGGATTTTTTGGTGTAGAGAAGTAAGATTAATTCTGTGTCTGACTAAATAGACCTCAGAGACTACACTTTTCTCATTTTAACTGAAAAATTCAGAATTCCTGTACTGTAAATCAGAAACCTGTACTTATCTCCTAAAATAGAAGCATCTATGACCTTTTCCTTTTTCACCCTGGGTTAATTGGTGCTGTCCTGGTGTTGGGAAGGCCAGGAAACAGTCGGGCATTGGTGTTGGGTCTTTCTATGGTGTTATGTTTCATTCTGCAACTTAGCAAATAAATTATTAGGTCAGGAGCGTGGATTCCGTTTCTAGAACACTAAGCTGCTTCTACCTGGGAAATTTTTTTGCCATGTGAAGTTCATTTTGGGTCTGTAATTGAGGCCAGGCGTTTTGTTAAAAGGGCCTCGTTTGGTCCCCTGAGCTCCCTTTACTAGCTGGTAAAATCTGTCTTCCCTTGATCTAAAAGTAGTTTTTATGGTTTAAAATGGATAGTGTTGCTCCCCATCCAAATAGTTCAGCTAAAGCAGGCTTCCCACACCTGACATTGTAGCAAGAGCACCCACAAGCCACTTGAAATTAAACCCTTTTCAAGAGGCTGAACTTGCTCATTTGTATTTCTGTTCCTCTTCCAACCCACAAATAAATCTGTCCATTTGTAGTGGGCATACGAGCTGGGTCTGTCCAACGAGGAGCCGGTTAGTATCCCGTTACATGCCTGTGAACACTTCTACCTTCTGACTCGCCCCTTGGAGACCCCTCTGCAGAGCAACACACCAAGTGAGGACTTGCACTTTTTTTTTAATCTTGTTTACTTGCCAGTATTTTGTCCTCTCAAAAGGAAGACCTTCTGCTAAGGACAGACTGTACCTAAAAAGTCTTTTCTGGAGCATGTTGCAGGGAGGTGGACCCAATTCTAACTTTTCTTTAATAGCTCTTTATGAAAGGATGGCCAAAATGGGCATTCTGCTTAAGCAAAAAAAAAAGTTTATTTTTGCAAGCTCATTTTAGTCCCAAGCCGAGGTCATTGAGAATGTTTGGATAGGAAACGTAACTTTGAGTTTGGAGCTTGAATGTTATAAATTGTAGAAATGTCATAGATAATGTATAAACTGATGTGGTTTAGTGATTCCCAGTGCTATAGAAAAGAGTTTTGATATCATTTTAGAGGTCATGATCCCTAGAATGAACTCTCAATCCACGTTTCCCGTTAGACTTTCTCTTGGCACAGTGACAGTTACATAGTTTGGTTGTGAGAACTTTTAAAAACTTCTTGGTCGCTGGTAGGGTTAGGGATAATCAGTGTCCACTGTAAATCTGAGAAGGAGGATCTTCCCCCACGCCCTTGAAAAGTATTTTAAAGCTAATGAATGCCTGTGTTTCGTGGATGCTATTTCATTAATAAAGCCATTAATGGGTGTTTTTGTTCGTTTCTTTTCTGTCCATTTAGAAAGCTGGCTTGCCTCTAAACCCTCGTTTTTCTCTTCTGCTCCCCACTACCTTATCATTTCTTTTCCTCAGCTATTGTGGATGCTGATGGGAGGATTTATATTCGGAACTGGCAGGGTGGCATCTTGTCTGGGGGCTTTGAGAAGAACCCGAAACCAATTTTCACTGAGGGCAAGAACCAGCTGGAGATTCAGAATCTACAGGAAGACTGGGATCACTTCGGTGTGTGAGCTAGATTATAACAATAATGCCTTATATTTATGTAAGATTTCTTATTTTCAAAGCATTTTGAAGAATAGGTGGTTACAGTGGACATTCTGCAGTGGTTAGTTGCCTGGCCTAAGGATACAGTTACTGATTGGTAGCAGATTCAGCGGACTAAAATCTAGGTTGACTGACTTCTGGTTTATTTTTCTTTTCACATAAAATCACTGCTGAGATTTTAGGCTGGACAGAGGCATTCTTTTGGTAGGACTTCATATAAAATTAGAGAGATCTTTAGAAAGCAGAATTGTTTTTGTTAATTTGGTCGTTTACTCTGTTTTTCGTAAGTTTAATTTTATTTGCTGAGTAGTTAACATAGTCATGTGATTCCGAATTCAAAAAATAGGAAAGAGGTTGAGAGTTTAGAGGGTTAATATGTTGTGGGGTTGTTAACCAATGTCATAAAACAACATGTGTACTACTGTTTCATGAGAAACTATTTGTTCTGTAAGCCTTCACCTGAAGTACAATAAAATACTAAAAAAAAAAAAAAATAGGAAAGAGTCTATAATGAAAAGTTTCCCTCCTACTCGTTGTGGACTTTTTTTCTGAATAAACTTCTTATTATGAAAAATTTCAAACTTTAAAGTAAAGAGAATAGTATAAGGAACCCTCTATGTACCCACCAACCAGCTTTGACAGATGTTAACTCATCTGATTTCCATTTATTACCCCTGTTCCACTGGATTCTTCCCAGGTGATGGACTTCCTTTAAAACAGGGTGAGGATCTGTCTTTCATACCTATTCCAACTTGGGAAAATACTGCCTTTTATTGCAATCTCTTGGGGTGCTATTAAGAGTTTATCCACGTGTACTGACCCCTGAGAGATTATTATCTATAGCTGTATGTATTATTTGCTAGTCTGTAGCTCCTTGCTTTTGTAAGGAGTATCTTTCTCAGTCTTTACGCCAAGCATTTTGCAAGTGTGTTCTGTAATTCCACCAAGGTTTCTGCTTTCTGACAAATGGCCTAGTTGGCTCTTCTTAAAAAATCTCTTCCAAGAGATTTTCTGAAAGGAGAGGGAGTTAAAAAAAGTATAAGGGTTTGAAAGTCTTTGAATTCCCAGAAGATAAGGACTCGGTTTGTTTTTATTGCTCAGAGCCCCTGTTGAGTTCCCTTCTGCGTAGGATGCCACAGTTGGAGGCTCTGGAGATCATGAAGTTGGTGAATTGCCCTGAGACCTTCACACCAGACATGAGGTGCATCATGGGCGAGTCTCCCACGGTTCAGGGCTACTTCGTCCTGGCAGGAATGAACTCTGCTGGCCTGTCATTCAGTGGAGGAGCTGGCAAGTAAGTCTTTCTCATTAGAGTCAACTATGACCATATGTCAGCTTGCTGGGCTTATATCCTTCTAGAATTACTTGTTTGTGTTATTGTAATATATTTAATATATTATTACTAAGGTACATGCAGTTTGAGAGTTGTCACCTTCAAAGTAAGCACCACAAAGCCTTGCCTCATATTCCAGAAATGTTGTCATTGTGCAAAACCTTATTGGAAGTCCTTGTTTGGAGTTAGTCACAGGGCCTGTGGGATGTTCGTTTGTATGTTTTTCAGTCATAACAAATGTTGGTCCTTTGAGTGTATATTTGAGTTTGATGATCTGCCTGGGTAATACAAATTTTTATTTTAAAAACTAGGTACTGATATAAATTAATGAAGTCCGTTTTCTTGAGCGACTTAGAAGATGACACTAAAAACAGTTACAGAAGAGGAGTTACCAAAAATGTTTGGAGCAGAGGAGATATGGTCAGATAACTGTATAACCTCCCAGGGCGACTGTTTTACAGAAATAACCCACTAGATGTAAAAATTAGAATATGTTTGTGTGAGTTTTAGTCTTTTTTCTTCATATATGTGGCTTATGTCTTAAACACTTTCTAGGGAATCTTATTGTTGGAAGTAAAATCCTTATAGTGGTTTTGTGAGAGCAGTAAATTGATCCTTCTTTTTTCAAGAAAAGTTAATGAAATAGCCTAGAATTATTCAACTGGTTAGTCTCCGACAAGATAAGGCTTTTGATTCTGTTGTTTCTTGATTCCTAGTCCAGTGCTTCTTCAATATCACATCTGAGACCCTACAACTTTTCTCCCTTCTAAACAGGTACCTCGCTGAATGGATGGTATATGGTTATCCCTCAGAAAACGTCTGGGAGTTGGACTTGAAACGTTTTGGAGCCCTCCAGAGCAGCCGCACCTTTCTGCGCCACCGTGTCATGGAAGTCATGCGTAAGTGAAACTTTATCCCAGTGGCAACTAGGTGCAGGTGTCTTTCAGAAGGACAGGCTTTTCTCAGTTCTTTAATAACTTCACTGAATTTCACTTCAGATGTTTGACTGTTTCAGGCCTTCTGGGAACAGGAAATTAGAATAGAATTTACAAGAGGTAATTCCTGGATACCCAGCACTGCTTCCTTCCGACTTTGCTTTGAAACACCCCGTATCAAAGTAAATGCTCTCTCACTCCTTGCTTGGTCTTTGAGATCATTGCTCAGTTTCCAAGGCAGAGTATGTGCCAAGTTGTACTCGAAGCTTAAGGCTTCGCTAGTGACTTTTGCCTGCACTACATGATCGGAGACCACTTCTCATGTAAATGCAAGCCATACATTCCTGCTGTCTTTCCGCTTGCTCTTGGCTCCCTCCAACTTTGAAGGATGGGCCTCTTCATTTAACTTCTTTTTCTACCTTGTCTTTGATTTATTTTCCACTAAGCCCTTAGAGACAGCTTTTGTATCAAGAGTTGAACCAATAACACACTCTGCTGCTAACCAAAAGGTTGGAGGTTTGAGTCCATCCAGAGGCTCCTTGGAAGAAAGGTCCATTGATCTGCTTCTGAAAAGTCAGCCATTGAAAACACTATGTAGGCGGGCATCCAAGGCACAACAGTTGGTCTCCATCTGCCTCGAGCAACAGAGGAAGAAGGAAAGTCAGGCATAGGGGGAGGAAATGGAATGTGTAGTTAATTGCCTCCATGAACAAGTGCCCCCTTTGCCATGAGACCAGAAGAGCTGGATGGTGCCTGATTACCATTGCTGAACATTTTGATCAAATATTCTATAGAAGAATCCTGATCATAGGAGGGAAAATGCAGAACAGAATTTAAAGTTCTCATTGACTCCAGAATTTCTAGAGCCATAAAGGCTAGATGAACCCCTGAAACAGTTGCCCTGAGATAATCTTTAAACCTTAAACCAAAAATGTCCCCTGAAGCCTTCTTAAAACCAAACAGTAGTTTAGCTTAGCTAGTAAAGAATGTCTGCCTTGAGTATTAAGCTCCTATAAGAACTATCTATATGGGATCAAAGTTACAACAGCAAGTGGAAAGATTAGATAGGAACCTTATAAGACAGTGAGTTTATGTTAATGGGGGAGGAACAACTCAAAAAAGAAGGGTGAGAATGGTTGCACAACTCAAAGAGTGTAACCAATGGCCCTGAATTGTACATGTAGAAACTTGAATTGATACATATTTTTGCTGTGCATATTCTCAACAACAACAAAAAGATAAATTATTAAAAAAAGAGTTGAACCAAATCATGTGGGTTCTGACAGGTTGCAATTTTATTTCCCTGTACTGAGGAAATATTCCTAGACTTTGCCAAGTATTTCTAAGTATTTAAGGCACATTTATGCTCAGAACTAAATTTCTGCATTGGCTCTGACCAGCATTCTTAATTAAGAATAAACTGTTGGTTTAGTAGCTGGACTGTATTCACAATAAGACCTGCGAATAGTCTGTAGCTCCTGAGTGCTCGCTTTTGGCCTTTGGCAGAGACCTTAACATCCAGTGAGAGATGCAGGACCTGGAGGCAGTATGTGTCCCTGTTAAGGTCCTTTATTTTTAGCAAATACTTTGGTTAAAACATTGAACTAGTATAAGCCTAGATTTACCTATCCATAATTACTTTAGAATCTGTGCCAATTGTAATTGAGCTTGAATTTCTCCTTGGTGACATGACAGTTTAGGATAGCCTTCTCTGATTCTCATAGGATAGAAATTGCAGACATCATCGAACATGGGGAAGGGAAGAATAGAGCCTAAAGTACCAGAGGAGAGTCACAGAGTCTCACAGTACAAGGAAACCAGCATGGTGGCTTCCTTCTCCCCTACTGCCCAGCCTCCCCAAGCCCTATGTACCTTCTGTTTGGAATGGTGTGAAGTCAAATCTTCTCTTCGGCAGGGACTGGAGGTCACACTCTTTCTGGCTGTTTTTACTGACTGCTGTTGCAGATTAGACATTAGGAGAAATGGATTCTGACCCTTGCTTTGTTATGTGAATAATGGCACTGGGACAATACTATGTAACCTCTCAGATTTCAGAGCTACCAAATCAAGGTGTGATACGTGCCCTTTCACTCCAGAAATCGATTAGAGAGGAAATGTCTGTAACAGGTCTGAGATCCCAACAACATAGGCACTATAAAGAAGCAAGTGCCATTTTTTCACACTATATAACTGCGTGTGTCCCACCTTCATGTGTGCTGTGGAGCTTAGGACCTTTTAGAACTATGACCTTTCTCCCCGTGTTTCTACCTACTAATTTGGAAGTATTATTGTTAATGGAGACCTAAAGGCTTTACATGACTCATAGCTATATACCTTATGAAGAGATAATACCAGCCCTTGCAATACTACCCTTCTTCTGGAGCATGCCTGTTATACTTGGTAATGTTTAGCATATTAGGCTATGTTAGCCTGGAAAGTAGGAGCGACTCCAGAGTCTAGTGTATATTGGGTATTCAGCTCTAGACTCTGACTTGGGCTTTGATAGACCATTCTTATCTCTTCTAGCTCTGTTGTATGATCTGAAGGTTCCCCGTTGGGACTTCCAGACTGGGAGGCAGCTACGCACATCTCCTCTGTATGACCGTTTGGATGCACAAGGAGCCCGATGGATGGAGAAACATGGATTTGAGAGACCAAAGTACTTTGTTCCACCTGATAAAGGTAAGAAGTCACATTCTTGTTTTTGGGGTGTTTTGTTTTGTTTTGGTCCTGAGTGTTGGTAAAGTTTATTTTAGAACATATATATACTAGGTTGTGTTCCTAGAAGAATAAGGAATAAAAGTCTGTTATACTATAGTAAACTATATAATGAGAGCCCCAGTTGTAAATCCCATCCTTTTCTTTCTACTTTTCATTTTTCTGTTCTGTAGACCTCCTGGCATTGGAACAGAGCAAGACCTTTTATAAGCCAGATTGGTTTGACATTGTGGAGTCTGAAGTCAAGTGTTGTAAGGAGGCTGTGTGTGTGATTGACATGTCCTCTTTTACAAAGTTTGAAATAACGGTAAGTATTTGGGGAGCCAAAATAACAGATTAGGGAACTTTTATTGAATGCCACCTGTTTACTGTCTGTCACTTCAAAATTGATTTGGTAAGAACTCTGGAATATTTTAGTGTTTCATCAGTAGTATAACATCTTTCTGAATTTTAACTCTTTATTTCTGGTTTTTAATTTGCTTAAGGAAGCCCATTTATCATTAGAATCAGTAGCTAACTTTCCCTCGAGCGTCTTGCAGTAGAGTAAATCTGCAAACGTTGTTGCTGGCTAATTGAATTTTCTCAGTAAGTTTCATTGCTCTTCAGGCTGTGTTACCCAGCCAGATGCTATTGTGCTCACTGTCTCTGCTTTGTTCCCTAATCCTGCAGTCCACCGGGGATCAGGCATTAGAAATTCTACAGTACCTCTTCTCCAATGACCTTGACGTGCCCGTGGGCCACATCGTGCATACCGGCATGCTCAATGAGAGCGGAGGGTATGAGAATGACTGCAGCATAGCACGAATAAACAAGCGCAGGTGAGCTTAGCTACCGCCCTGCTCTGCTGCCTCCAGCACACTGGTTCCTTAAGGGCACTGTAGCAGAGCAGAGACCCTAACTCATTTTTCCAGGAAATCATAATTAGACTGAAGACAAAAAAAAAAAACCATTAATTCCCAGCCAGTTCATTAGCAGCACAGTACAAAAAGAAATAAAAGAGAAGAAACTAACCAGATTTATGTAAAACTCAGTATAGAAGAGTTAGTTGTCCTACCAGCAGAAGATGCCATGTTTTGTGTTCATATGTCTGTATAATTTTTTGGCACTATCAGGAAGCTAGAATCTTCTGTGTTGTCATTATGTGGTAAATCTAGAATGGTGCTCCTGGCCGTCCCTGAAACCTAAGAGATCATTTGCCACTATTCTACACATTGCCCCCAAACTAGGTGAGAACCCACACATTTGTGGTCAACTGATTCTTGACAAGGATGCAAAGTCCATTCCATGGGGAAAGAGTCTCTTCAATAAATGGTATTAGGAAAATTGGATTTCCACATGCAGAAAAATGAAATAGGATCCATGCCTTACACCATACACAAAAACAAATTCAAAATGGATTAAAGGACTAAATGAAAACTTAACTTAAAAGTATAAAATTCTTAGAAGAAAATGCAGGGGCAAAGCTGTCAAGCCTAGCTTTGAGCAATAGATTATCTAATATAATAGCAAAAGCACAAACAGCAAAAGACAAAATAAATAAATGGGACCTCATAAAAATTAGAAACTTCTGTTCATCAGAAGACTACCAAAAAAGTGAAAAAACAAGCTACTAACTGGGAGAATATCTTCGGAAACCATTTAAGAATCTTATAACCAAAGTATGTATAAAACTTCAACATAACAACAAAAAGACAAATAACCCAGTCATAAAATGAGCAAAGAACTTGAATAGACATTTCATGGTAGAGGACCTTCAGATGGCCACCAAACACATGAAAAGATGCTCAGTGTCATTAGCCATCAGAGAGATGAAAATCAAAACCACTATGAGATACCATTTCACTCCCACACTCCAACTGGGATGGCTAAGATTTTTTAAAAAAACAAAAGTGTTGGCAAGAATGTGGGGAAATTGGAACCCTTATCCGTTCCTGCTGGGAATGCAAAATGTGGAAAACAGTGTGGTAGTTCCTGAAAAAACTAAAAGTAGAACTACAGTATGACCCAGCAATTCCACTCCTAGGTTTATACCCAAAAGACCTAAAAGCAGAGACTCAAACAGATACTTGTACACAAGTGTTCATTGCAGCACTGTTAACCTAAATGCCCATCAACAGAGGAATGGATAAACAAAATGTAGTCTATACATAAAACAGAATGCTACTCAGCCAGTAAGAGAAATGAAGTCTTGATACATACTACAATGTGGATGGAGCTTGAAGACAGTATGCTGAGTGAAATAAGTTAAACACAAAAGACAAATATTATATGACTCACTTATATAAAAAAGACAAGAACAGGTAAATGTATAGAGACCAAAATTTATTAGTGGTTACCAACGGTGGGAGAGAGGGGGGAAGGGGACGTTATTGCTTATGGAATACTGAGTTTCAGTTTGTAGTGATGGAAAAATAGGATTGATTAAGGGTAGGGTTGCACAGCCAATTAATGTAATTGCTGTCAGTAAGTTGTACATCTGTAAAAAGTTGAATTGGCAGAAGTTGTGTGATAGATATATTTACAACAACAACAAAAAGAGTAGCTGCTGAGGCTGCTTATGTACAACCAAACACCTCATGGGATTTGGTTCCCCTTTTTGGAGGTTTAGGGTCATGGTTTCATGGGACATCCCAGTTAATTGGCTGAATACCATGTTTAGCGCTTCTGTTCTTGGTCTCTGTTCTTGGTCTCTGTTCTTGTCTCTGTTCTTGGTCTCTGTTCGCGTGCAGCAGCAGAGGAAGGAGAGTCAGGAATAGGAGGAGAAAATTGAATGTGTAGCTCATTGCCTCCATGAACAACTGCCTCCTTTGCCATGAGACTAGAAGAGCTGGATGGTGCCCAGCTACCATTACTAAACACTTTGATCACATTTCTGTAGAATCTTGGTCAAAAATGCAGAACAGAATTTAAAATTCTCATGGATTCCAAAATTTCTGGAGCCATCAAGGCTGAATGACCCCCTGAAACTATAGCCCTCAGATAACCTTTAAACCTTGTTCAAAAATACCCCTGAAGTCTCCTTAAAACCAAATGGTTTCACTTAACAAGTAAAGAATATCTGTCTTGAGCATTGTGCTCTTTTAAGATCTAGCTATGCGGGATCAAAATGACAACAGCAACTTGCAAGATTAGATAGGAACCCTAGGGGGCAGTGAGTTTATGTTAACGAGGGAGGAACAACTCAGAAAAGGAGGGTGAGAGTGCTTGCAGAATTTGAAAAATGTAATCAGTGTCACTGAATTGTACATGTAGAAATTGTTGAATTGGTGTATGTTCTGTGTGTATTCTCAACACCAGGAACAAACAAATTATTTTTTAAAAAAACCTAGATAAAAACGTAATTGCTTCTTGAATCTTTTGCTACCTGATTTTGATTACTCTTGGTTCTCGCTTTCAGTTTCTTCATGATTTCTCCAACTGACCAGCAGGTCCACTGTTGGTCCTGGCTTAAGAAGCACATGCCAAAAGACAGCAACCTGCTTCTGGAGGACGTCAGCTGGAAATACACTGGTAAGTGGCCTCTGGGGCTAGTTGAGCAAGGAAAGGCCGGTAGTTCCAGATTTATCTTCAACATTTGTCTTCTTTATATTTGACATTAGAAGACGAATGTCAAAATTAGTGTGGATGAAGCTCTCTGGTCATAGAAAATTGATCTCTGAAACTTCCTCCCTTTTTTATAAATGAAATATGAAATGAGTTAGTATTTCTGTTTTGTTCACTTTTATATCCCCTACAGCTAGCATTTAGGAACTCAAGTATTTGTTGAATGAATGAGTAAAAAAAAATTTCAAAGAATTTTTCTATTACCTAAATATTTTCATCAAAAATTCCCCTTAGCTTTTGTTTATTATTATTATTAGGATGACTGAGTTTCCTTCCTCAGCAGTCCTGGCAGGGGAGCAGCCCCTCCTCTTTTAGCACCCCACTCCAGGTTCAACGCCTCCCTCCACCTACTTAACTGGCTTCTGCCCTTTGCCCCTAGCGTTTACTCTCCCAAACACTCGTTCTCAATTCCTCGTAGTAGCAAACATGATTAACTTCTTGCTAGCAGATTGGCAAACTGTAGACTCTTATTGGATAAAAATTGTTTTCTAGGACTAGCCTATACTAGGTAGTTGACGTGTAATTAGGACCAGCTGCTGTCACAAGCATCAGAGTCCAGGGTGAGTTGGATACCTGTCCTCCAGGGCTCTCCTCCAGGCACTGGTTTCTGTCAGAGCTTTTTCCATCATATCACCACACCATTTGGAACCTTTGGTTTTTAAAGTCAGTGGGAGGGGGAAAGAACAGGAGTTGTGCAGGGGGGGTGATGGCCAGCCCTGGAAACAAGCTCATGTCCCATTAGCCAGGACTTGGTCTTGTAATCCCACGCTAACTGCAAGGGAGGCTGTGGAATGCTGTCTTCCTGTGTACCCAGGAAGAGGAAACATTCTAGCCAGGTGCTGTCACACCAGTACTGACAGTTGCTGTATTTAGCAGGCCTGTCAATAGAGAGGTGAATCAGGATGCTCTGTATTCAAGCTTAGATTGCTGTGCACAGGGATGCTTTCATAGTCTTACCACCCAGGCTTGGCCTTAAATGAGCAAGCACAGAATGAACCTTTCCCATGACCCCAGCTGTTCACCTGGCAAAAAAAAAGATTGTTCTTTTCTGTTTAGCCCTCAATCTGATTGGCCCCCGAGCTGTGGATGTTCTGTCCGAGTTGTCCTATGCTCCTATGACTCCTGACCACTTCCCAAGCCTCTTTTGCAAGGTGAGTGATAGTAAAGTTCTATTTTTTAAATGGATGGAAATTTTTCTTTTATAATAGTGGCAGTTACATATTATTCTTCTGGCACTGCACCCAAAAAGAATGTTTTAACCCGTAAGCAAACAAGAAATGGCTGAGTAAATTCATTTCCTTTTTTTCCCTCTTTCAAGGTCTTCTTATTTAATAAGCATTAGGGTATCTTTAGGGTGGATTTTGATTGTGAGGGTGGCACAGGACCAGGCAGTGTTTTGTTCTGTTGTACATAGGGTCTCTGTGAGTTGGAACTGACTAAGCGGCACCTAACGACAACAACAAGGTAGATGTAACTTACCTGAGTGTTACCTGTTGCCATCAAGTCGATCCCGACCTTATAGGACAGAGTAGAACTGCCCCCATAGGGTTTCCACAGAGCAGCTGGTGGATTCAAACTGCCAACCTTTTGGTTAGCAGCCAGACTCTTAACCACTGCACCACCAAGGCCTCTAAGACCCCTTTTTCTCCATGCAGTGCTTCCTCTTTTTCATATACAGAGTAACTTCTTTTTATGTGGCATCTTCAGGTAAGAAATGCTTGGGTGAATCCCTAAACAACTTACATAATTTTCTTTCTTCTAAGGCATGACTATAGCTGAGTGAAACAAATTGTAACTTAGTAAAAGAAATGCAAACTGAATAGGAGGCAGCTGGTAAGAGAAGTCCAGCCTATAAGGAGCAAGTAGGAGACAGTACTGATGGAGGCTCTTTGAAGTTGAGACCAAAGTTGGGATCCATCTACAAAGTGTTTTTATAGTTTTCCTTTTTTTCCGCGGCAAAGGGGAAGCAACAGAAAACTCTCCACAGTTAGCTCTCAGCAAACCCCTTCATGGTACTCTCTGCTTCCTGGAAGGAATGATTCATACTCTTGGCCCTAGAGAGTGCCCCATTGTGTCAGACTTCCTCCGGAAGCAGTTTGCTTTCGCAGCATCTGGGACTTGCCACTTTCCCTTATAGGAACAGTGGTTGAATCAGTGACCCCTGTTAGGTAGCTAAAAACGTGTTTTGAAAATCAGAAACCAGGTCTCCGAGACCAGGGTGACAGATGAATCGTGTTCTGTAGTCATCAGGCATCAACTTTGTGTGGCAGGTGCCTGGGATTTGTCTCTGCAGAGCCTCCCAGTCTTCATTGCTCCCAAAAGCCCTGATTAAAACATAAAACAGTTCTTTGCCAGGACTTCGCGAAGATAAATATTTCATGCTTGTCAAAGACTTTGCTTCCGCTTGTCCCATCAACTTGTCTAAAACTCCTGAAGTGGTGAATTCTGTGGAAAAGGATACTATAAAGGCTGTGTTCCATTCTCAGAGACTGCAGTACTTGGAAACAGGCCATTGTCAGGATGAAATTCTTTGATTTACATGTATCTTGTTTAAGGCCCGGAGTTAATGAGTGGGGGTTACCTTGAGCATTCATTCCTTTAACAGATGGAATTTGAGTGCCCATTCCCACTGAAGAGTTTCCAAGGCTGACTTTCTCCCTTTGTTTCCTCAGGAGATGAGTGTGGGCTATGCAAATGGCATCCGGGTGATGAGCATGACTCACACAGGAGAGCCGGGATTCATGCTTTACATCCCCATTGAGGTGAGAGGGCTCCTCCTCATTGCCCAGAACTCCTAGGAGGTGTAGATATAGCTGTGTCCAATTGGGCCTTTGTAGTTGAGGTAGGCGTCATTGAAGAGATTTTTAAATGTTTATCTGAGTTATTTAAATTTTTTTAAAAGGTAATACATTCATATGGTTTAGAAAAAAAGCAATAAGAAGTGTTCAGTACTGTCTGACCAGTTTCCACCAACAATCACCACCAGTGATATTAGTATTAGCTTTTTGCATGCCTTACCTAATTTTTATGCAGATGTAAGCAAATTCAAAGACATTCTTACCCTTTTTTTTTTTTAAGTATTTTATTTTTGGTGAAATATACACAGCAGATCATCCACCCGTTCAACAATTTCTACACGTACAGTTCAGTGACATTGGTTACATTCTTCACATTGGATCACCGTTCCTGCTACTTTCTCCCCATACTGTTTCAGTACGATTGACTTAGGCTCACTGCCCCAAAAACTACTCATCTGTGCTTTAGAGTTACTGTTGTCATTTTGATCGGATATAGATAATACTTTAAAAGAGCGCAGTGCTCAAGGTGAACATTCTTTATTAATTCAACTAAACTGTTGTTTAGTTTGAAGATGACTTCAGGGAACAGTTTCAGTTCAAGGTTCAAAAATTTCCTCAGAGTAACAGATTCAGGGATTCCTCCAGCTTACCCCTCTTCTAAAAAACACAAATGGAAGCATACTGCAGTTCCTCATCTGGTTTTTTTTAATTAACAATTTATCTTAGAGATCTTTATATGTCAATACCTGCAGAGAAAGAGCTTCTACTGTTTTTTTTTTTTGAAGCATTGACCTAGTATTCCATCATATGGTTGAGTCACAATTTATTTAACCAGTCTGGTACTCATAAACATTTATGGTGTTCCTACCCCTTTGCTGTCATAAATAGTTCTGCAGTGTACAAGATTATCTCTTTCCTTATAGCTAGTACCAGCACACAGAGCTGTCAGACTTGAGGCTGTCTGCCAGCCTGACATGGTGACACCAGCTCACTACTCCTGGGCTGTAGCTCCTTAGGCTGTTGAGAATGAGACATCCTGGGAAGACAACCTTCTCCTTTGTCTGAGTTAATAGTGTTAGCCGTCAGGCACTCCCAGACATATTCTGTGTCCAGTTCTGAAGTGTCTGTTGGTTACTAACCCTTCATCTCTCCCGGTAGTATGCCCTACATGTGTACAATGAAGTGATGAATGTTGGACAGAAATATGGAATCCGAAATGCTGGGTATTATGCTCTTCGTAGTCTCCGAATTGAGAAGTTTTTTGCCTTCTGGGGTCAGGATTTAAATACCTGCACAACACCCCTGGAATGTGGACGAGAGTTTCGGGTGAAATTAGAGAAGGTACTGTGTATACCCACACTCCAGTCTATCACTCATTCTTCTGAGTGGTGAAATCAGCATTAGAATGGGAAGATAAGCTGATATGGGAAGAAAAGTGTAACAATAAAAATTTGAAACCTTAGTGATAGCATCAGGTAAATAATGATTATTAGGATGTCCTTAGACTGAAAATTTTGTTTGTGGGATAAAACAAATTAATATGAGAACATAAATAATGGATAACACTTGTTTCTAGCGCTTTGCTGTCTTTTAGGCTGGGTGCTTTCTGGGGAGTTTTTCTGGTTGATTATGGTATTTAATTAATAAGCCATAATTATTTGTACGAATGGGTCTTCTCACAGTCTGCTGCCTAATTTTTTTTGTTTCTTTTTAAAGTAATATATAAACAGTTTTTTTAAAAAATCAGAGTTCAAGAGAATGTACAGTGAAAAGTGATTCTATTTCCAGCCTCTGAGCCCCACCCAGTCACACTGTCCCCTTTGCCAGAAGAATGAGCTTCTTATCTCTCATAGAGCTTCAGTGTATGCAGACATGTAAGTGTATAATTTTCCATCCCATTCCAGCGTTTACTCTCTTTCCTAGGGGATGGATTTCATCGGTCGGGATGCCCTGCTGCAGCAGAAGCAGAACGGGGTGTATAAGCGCTTCACGATGTTTATTTTGGATGACCACGACACAGACCTGGACCTTTGGCCTTGGTGGGGAGAGCCCATTTACCGAAACGGGCGGTATGTTGGCAAAACCACCAGCAGTGCCTATAGCTTCACCCTGGAGCGCCACGTGTGCCTGGGCTTTGTGCACAACTTTTCCGAGGACACTGGGGAGGAGCAGGTGGTGACAGCAGATTTCATCAACCGGGGAGAGTATGAGATTGATATTGCGGGGCACCGGTTCCAGGCCAAGGCCAAGCTCTACCCCTTCAGCTCCCTCTTTACCCATAAACGCCGAAAGGATGACGTGGAGCTAAGTGACTTTCATGGAAAGTAATGCCGGGACAGTCTCCCCTCCTCCCCCATCATCTTATTTCCGGAGGAGGACATCTTAGAAGCATCTCTTTCTTCCATCTGATCCCTTCCCTCTTCTTTTCTAATATTCTCCTTCCATCTCTTTCCTCCTTCGTATAATTTTAAACTTACCTACTCTAAATTTTTTTGTTCTGAAGCCTCTCTTCCATCTTCTCCTCCTCTTGCAGTCCTCCTCCTCCTAATTCTCACTTTGGGCTTTTCCTCTCCCTTCACCTATCTCAGATTTCCGTGGTGACAGGAAGTATGTCTGACAGGACAGGAGCAGGCTCCTTGTAGAAGTGGGTTAAGGTAACAGGCTGACTTCAAATACTGTATCTTCAAGCAAGGAACGCTGATGTGCAGGCCTCAGGGCAAGAGGTAATCTCCCTCGGGCTAACTTTTCTCTGAGTAACCTGTTAATTTTGGTGGGATTGCTAGATGTCAGATTCAGTTCCATAGAATAGCATGTGCCTTTTAGCCAGGCAGATCACTCTCCTGTTACATTGTGCTGTGCATTTGGCACTCTGATACCTCTAGCAAGAGGACAATTGTCTACCTCACTGACGAGAGGCTTGGCATGTACATTGTCTGGTCCACAGCAGAGACAAACAGTTAACCTGGCCTCATCCTCGTTCTCCCTACATACTGAACCAGTTGTCAGAGCTTTGGGCTGGGACAACCCCGCCTATAATTTTCTTCATCTCTTGTTAATATCTATAATGAATGATATTTTTTTTTTAGCCGAATAAACAAGTAAGCCACAGTGTTTGAAAGGGAAAAACCATGTTGCCTTTTGTTTTGCTTTTCCTAGCTGAAGGGTCGGACCTCAGAAAGTACACCACCACCAAGTTGAGTTTTCTGCTATTAAAATAGTGCTGCTTTTCTTTCACCTGTTGAAAGTTCAGGCATCCCACCTCAGTTTTCCTCTTCTCCAGGTACAGTTGACTTTACCAGTTCAGCCTCACCTGTCCCTTCTGCAGCAGGCCCACTAGCTCAGCATCAGTTTCTTTCCCTTGAGAACAGGGAGGGGAAGGTAGGTTGTGTCGTCCTGGTTGAATAGCTAAACCTTGCTGGCCATGCAGAGTCCAGAGAGCTGTTGGAATCCCAAGTTTGCTTTCTCCAACACAGAGCAGACCAAGCCACATGTAGATGTCCCACACGGCTCTCCTGGAGCATGCACAGTATGGAGGGTGAGTTACAGAAGCCTAGAGGTACTTCTCTCTTCTCCCAGGCTTTTTCTTTTCTCGTGTAGTGTCCCTCCATATCCTGTGGAATAGAAAGTAACTTAGTGTACCAGAAGAGGGCCCTGCACATTTTTAAGCAGTGTCTTTTTTCTGAAGGTAAAACTTAGATACCACAGACTGTGCTGTCTGGTCCCAAGTCCCAACACTTCATTTTCTCTTGGATATAGATAGCTCTAATCTGTTTTTTTGTTTTGTTTTTCTTAAGTGCAGACAAACTGCTATTAGAGATTTTAAGTGAACGGTAGCCTTTATTGTCTTGGTATCTTGGAAGCATTAGCTCTCATGGGACTATAATATATTAAAGAAAGTTATACAGCTTAAAATTCTCAGGTGTCTGCCTTTTCTGACATTTCTTTGGGATCTCAGTTTACCCACTTAACCAGGCTTGCACCTTGTCCCTTCTAGACATTTCTTGCCATTTCTCTAGCTGGACCATTTCTAATTGATGACTGACTTTAGTCCATCCTTTTTGGGGTCTTAGTTGATTTATTAAGGGGGTGTGTGATTAAAGTTCTGTTTTGGAGGCCTACCTATTTTGGAGCAAATGTGTATTTAACTAGCTGAAAGATGCTGCTTCTAGGCAAAGAGGAGGGAGGAGGAGAAGTGTTGCTTAGCTGGAGAGCAAAGCAGTTGCTCAGCAGCTGTGAAGGACTTGGGCGAGCAGGAATGGGCACTTGGCCAAATAACAGGAGTTACTAGCAGGGAGCCAACTGTCCTAAGAATATAGAAACAGAAGACATAGAGGCACAGGTAACCTGTGATGTTTCAGGTACGTATAGCATTTGCACCATCCAAAGTCATCTTTGTAAATGAAAGTTTATTTGCGATTGAATCCAAAATAAATCCTTGGTTTATGCATAGATACTACTCTTCCAGCCTTAAATGTGGCAATATATTTGTCATTTAACTATAAAGTAGAAGTGTTATATCGCTTAATTAAGATCCAAATTGAAAAAACAAAAGTTCTCTCTACAGTTTAAAAGTGGAGAATGCCATCATTATAGTGTATTATTTAAATAGAAGTTTCACCAGAAGCATATTTAACATGGAGTTTTAAGACTTTGGATTCTCTTTTTTTCTGCACTTGTTAATCTCTAGCTAATTGCTATTTTGCTAATTAGTTGTCCTTTCTAAGAAGTAGGAGGTAGATCTGATGTTGTGTCCAAAGTCATGCAGTGACTTTCTGGTGAACCAGAGCTAGAAGTTCTGGCCTCCTGTTTCTTGTTGCACTCTTCCCCCCTTTGCGCCAACAGAACAGTGCTTCTCTTACTGGAAGGAGAAGATAGATGGGACAAGCACTCGGGACTGCAGTTTGAAAGTATCTTGTCCATAAATAGGTGTCATACTCCTGAGACCCTGGCAAGATTTGGTCTCCTGGGGCATCACTTGTTTACTGAATGCCCTGAAACATACATATTTATCTTTTGGCACTTTAAAATTCATCCTTGAGGCCCCTTGGTCCATTCAAATATAGGCACTGTGAATATGGTATTTGTGTGGATTTGGTCCTCGTGTGAGCTTGTTGAACAGGCAGCTGAAGATAAGTGACTCTCCTGACTTTCATGGAATTACTTTGCCCCGTCTGGTGTCATATGCATCTTAGGCAGTACAGATGAGAGGACATTTAACCTCGATGACCCATTGATGTCAAATGGTGAAGCGCTGTGGACTCCTGAGAGGCAGGAGCCTCTTGAGTAAATGGGGTTGCTGATAGGTGGGCTAGATCCAAGAGGCCTGGCTCCAAGTCCAGCAGGAATAAAGGACAATCAGAACATCCTCACTTGTTTAATGTCATTTCCATCTCTTGGGCAGTGGGACCACAGGTGTTTGCCTTATGTGACAACTCATCCTAGAGAGCCAGTGAGTCTGTCTTCTCTCCCTTGAGATTTGAGGGACTCTGGGTCTCTTGTGAATGGGTGGCATGGCTGGACTTGAGCTTTAGGTGGTTGGGCACTTTCTTCTCTCTTAAATTATCAGTCCTTAATGTCTTCTGCACTCCATGGAAGAAGGGCTCTGCATTCTTCTCTTCTGTCTTGATGACATACATATTCAATTAAAGAATCTTTTTGAGCCTAGGAACAGAAAATGTGTTGGCCTCAAGCAGATGAAGACCCAGGGTTGCAAGTCTTCTGTGAGCCTCTCCCTCCCTTGAAATATCTTCCAAGTACATACCATTCCTCTCTTCCCCCCCAGTTACTCATGCTGCATGTATATCCTGTTTTCTTAACTCTGCCATGGTCATTTGACTTACATGTAAGGTTGCATCAGAAAGATCTCCCTTCCTGAAATTGCTGAATGGGTATATGTTTGGCTGTGTATGTTTTCACCAGAAATAAAGAGAAAGATCTCCCTTCCCTGATACTGGCACTGAAATCAGAAAGGCTCTAATTAAGAGAGTTTTAAGAGCAAACAGGGACAAGAACTTTAACTACTTGGATAGCCTGCTTGATGTCTTTTAACCTGTGCTTCAGTCACATGCATATTGCTCTTCTAGGGGTCCCTGCAGCCCCAAGTCTGAGAGACACCAGGGACACAGAGACCATCCAGCCCAGTGATTACACCAGTTTTCACTTTGGCCCCAAAGACTCCATTTCTGCAGGAGTAGAACACGGTCATTTCAGTTTGGTTCTCATCCGGAGGAGTCTGTCCGTGGATTGTAGCTCCTTGTACAGACCAACAGTCCTACCTGCTTCCCTTCTTTCCTGGGCTATTTCCAAGAAAGTAACTAAAACGTGATGAAAAAATGAGTCTTCAGCTCTCACAGTACATTACCCTGCCTTTTGCATGCACTTGAAATGTTAACCCCATCCTCCACCACCACCATGATATATATGGCAGTAGTGGTATGGGAATGATAGTAGCTTTCTAAAAGTGTTAACTGCTTCTCTGAAGAGATGACCCATGGCATTGATTTCTGGCTCTGTTTATCCTCTGGCTTATGGACACATTTGTGGATGTTTGAGTGAGCCTTCACTATCTTTTGATAACCTGTAGCTGATAAAAGGGAATCTTCTATGACCTGTTGACCCGTGAACACTGTGTCCTGATAGAGCAATTGCACTGGCTTGCTTTCAGGGATTAGCTGCAGGGCTCATTTTTGTGTCTCTTTATTGCCTCTTGGCCAATGTAGTAAGCAGAGGGCCCTCTCTAATTCCTACGAGATAGAGGTTTGGTCAACAGTGGTTAATACTGAAGAATAGCCTCCTGCTGTTTTGTCTTTCTGCACGCTCTTGCCCCTTATAAACACTGATATAAACAGTATTTTATCAGCACGATAACAGATATTTTTCTCATAAGTAAAGAATTTCCATTTTGCATATGCCATTTGCAGGCACATGGATTCAGGAGAAGCACAGTTGAGTGGAAAAATGGTAGATGAAATAATAGGATGTTTGAGGCATTAGCCACATCCTGTGTACTTGCAGCAAGGAATGAACAAACCATAGGCCTACCTGTCAGCGCCTCCCTCCCCCATCACCACCTTTGGCCTCCACTTAAGGTGCTGAGTTGTAAGGCTCCTTCATTGTCAGTACAGGACTTGCCATTTGTAGTCCTCCATCACCACCAATGCACTATCTCCAAGAGGACTGAGTATTTTTGTATGTCTTTTCCTTTCCTTTGTCCATTAAATTCCAGACTTGTTCCTTGTAAAGTATGATTAATGACTTCTCTGAGCAGAATGTCTGCATCTCTTGGAGAATTAAACGTTTCTTCATGGGTCATTTTTCTCATGATATTTAGATGCACCTATTTTTATCCTTTGCAGACTATCTTCTGCCTTCTTGTTTTCCTGTCTCAATGACAGAGATTGCAAGAGGTGGGGAGGATATTTTTAGTATCTGTTTCAAAAGATCTATGCCAGGATTTCCTTTGCACACCAAGAACTGGAGCTTAGAGCACGTCTTTTCTCTAAGCCAGGTTCTAGTGCCTTACACTCCAGAATGTCAAATGATGGATCTAGGCAGCAAGAAAAACAAAGGAAGTAACTTCATTTCAGTCTGTGGGTCTCCATCCACCCTGCATAGCCTCTTCTTCCCCAGAACAATTGTGTGTGGGGGTAGAAAGCTTCTCGAGCTGCGTTTCAGTGAAGGATTTTCTAGCAGCACAGTTAACACTTTCCTCTGTGGTCAACTCTTGGAATGTATAAAAATGCCACTGTAATTATTGTACTATAATTCATTATTTGCATTTTGAAAAAGTGCAGTTCAGCTCAGCCCCTTTCTGTTCCCGTTCAGAGTTAGAATGTGGTCCTGAAGACTTACGAGGCACTTTAGTAAATGGAATCTTTTCTAAAGAGCTGGTGACTTTAGGCACGCAGGGTGACTGAGCATTTCTGCCCTTCATGGACGGTATTAATGTTGTGCACTGTATTTATATCAAGCTAGATTTAAATTAAGATTTTCTTTTCATGTTACTGGGTTTGTAAATGAATAAACAGACATTTTGATTACTCTTGTCACGTCCACTCGTGAAATGTTCTTCATCTGTAGGAACTTGGTCTATGTATTTGCCATCACAAAGGAATAAATATTGTACATGAAATCATTTCTGCCTGTGTTACCGAAGTGTAAGAAAGAGTTTGGAAATCGACTTGAAGATACAGGCATTTATCTTACCCTCGTGCAGTGGTGGCATGGCTGAGAAGAGAAAGCCTCTGTTCCTCCTCCTGAAGTTGTGATTACTGTCTCCGGATTTGGCATCCTGCCTACGGTTGACTTCGCAGTAAGAACCTGACACTTGACATAATTACCCGTGTACACACAAGTCCATGTTTGTATGGAAGTCAAGGGTGTGTGTGTGTGCATCCTTGCTCATACCTGGGGGAAAAGAAGAACATTATCTGAGAGAAGCAGCCAGTGAGCTTTTCCTGCACTTAGCTTCTAGCCACAAATTTAGTCAGTGAGCTTTATTCTGTTTATCCAACTACTTTTTGTGTAGCTACGTCTGGGAGTCCCATAGGTAGACTAAAATGTTTACAACAATCTGATCATCTTGTCTTCCAAGTCTACTCCTTTCATTTCCAGTTTCATGAATGATCAAGTCAACCAGAAACCTGGGAATCATCTGGTCGCCCCACTCACCTCTCCTTCCATCTCTAGTTCATCACCTAGCCTGACAGTGTCTCCTCGGTATCTCTTGTCTCTTCTCCCATTCCCTTCTACTCCAGATGTAGTTCAGAGTTGTCATCCCGTACTTCGATGATAAACCCTTGAATGATTTTCCTGTCTCTCCTGTCATTCTGTCCTCACTCTACCAGGGTTATCTTTCCAGAACACATCAGATTACTCACTGACTTAAAGCCCTCAGGTGACTCCCTCTGTTCATGAAAAAAGGCAAACAAAGGCCTTTATGGTGTGACTCTGGCAGAGTGGACCACGCTGCATGTGATGCTTGGATCCCTGAATCTTGGTTCATTCTCCATCCCTGACTGTGGCTGTATCTTATCTAGCACCCTGCTATTGAGCCACACTGAGATCTTGCTGTACCCATCCTTTGCTTACTAAAATGCCCTTCCTGGCACCCATCCTGCTGTGCTTGTGGAAGTCTTCTGAATTTAGAATCATGCCCCCCACCCTTCCCCAAGATCACCACCATCTCCAGCAAAGCATTTCCCTCCCCAAGTGAATTGGCCTCCTTTTGGTGTCTTACTGTACCCTTTTCAGATATGTCTTTACTTGTTTTCTCACCCTACTGGTTCTGTAATTCCCTCTGAGGGACACTTAGTCTCTTTGAAACTCCGACATCTAGTATTGTGCCTGGTAATTAATAGATAATTAAATGAATGGGGAAAAATGGATAACAAAGGCTTTTTTTGCCAATCTGTAAAATGGGAATGACACTGTAGTTACCTCACAGGTAGATGTAAAGATCAGTTGTAATAACCTATAAAAGAGGATGTAAGAAACGCACCTTTGGAACTTCATTTACTGCCTTTGTCCATAAAACAGGCCAGTAGATGGCGCTATGGTGTAGTAATTGAGGTCATCTGGGTTTACCCAGAAGGGAAGAAAAACCCAAACCCATTATTGTGGAGTTGATTCCAACTCATAACAACCCTGTAGGACAAAGTAGAACTGCCCCATAGGGTTTCCAAGGAGCAGCTGGTGAATTTGAACTGCCAACATTTTGGTTAGCAGCTGAGCTCTTAACTACTGTGCCACCTGGGTTTTACACAACCCCTCATATTGACATAGTTGTCACAGTTAGAAACCCAAGTCAGACTAATAGAATTTTCCTTAAAAAGTTGATAACCCAGTGGCCTTTATGGCATATGCGAGACTGAGAAGAGGCTGCTTTTGTGCAGCCTTCAAAAAGGGATATGCCTTTTTTGTCCAACTGTACATTCATATTAAAGGATCTGTAGAGTTAGGGACCCTCAGACACTTCAGATCTGGGACATCATCTGACTCAAGCCCCTTGGAATCCCAAATGAAAGTCGGTGTGATCGTGGTTGGTTAAGAGCATGACTTCGGGGCTGACCTGGCCTTGCTCTCCATGGCAGCAGTGCCTCTCGGTGTATGACCTTGGTAGGTTGTTTCCTAAGCCTCCATTTACTTGCTTATAAAATGAACAGTGACACTTTGTGAGGTTTTTGTGAGGCTCGAATAATGCATATAAAATACTCATCACATTGCAAACATTTTCAGCTTTTTTATTACTCTTGCAAGGCATACTATATGGCCTGGCAACCTTGGATTTCCAGATTGTGGTGGGAGATGAGTAAACAGAGACTCAAGGAGGCTGAGAGACCTGCAGCTCAAGAAGCAAAGGACCTGTGCCCAGGCCAGTTAACCAGATGCTTGTGGGCAGGAGTTCCCAGGTGCCACTGGTTCTGATGTCTTTTTAACTGAGGCCATTATTACTTGTTTGCTTCTAAAACTAACCATTTGGGCTTGGTGCAGACTTACTCCAGGATGCACCCTGTGAATTAGCTGCAATTGTCTGAGTCAATGAGCTATCTTTCCATGACCAGGATGTTCACCTCTGTGCATCACCTGTGAGCAGATATACCCAAGCCTCTGGTGATCTTGGACATCTGTGTTTTTCAAGGCCCTGTATGTAGCTGAACGTTTGTTCTTCATTCCCTTCTCAGACCAGCTGGTCCCACTTTACCTGCTGTGCTCTAAGCCTTCCCAACTGGATGACCAATTTGAACATAACAATTTTGAAAATAACAGCAACTTCAGAGGGATGCTTGGCATCCAAGTCTCCCTCATCCTGTTTCCACAAGAGACCAACTCCTGCAATCCTTGAGGAGCAAAGTCATCCAGGACCCTTGACCACAGAAGAGGATCTAGAAATAGGCTAGCCTGGACAGTCGTATCCCAGTAAGGGAAAACCCTTACTCCTGGGATGTTCCTCCCTTCATTGGCTGGCTTTTAAAACTAAAGTCTAACCAAATCATGGTATGGAATAGTCTGAACGACAGCAAGCCCTGCAGAACTTGGATATTGAAAAAAACAGGGTCCTTATACATAGTGGAAGTCTTAGAGAAAGAGAAGGGGACAGAAAAATATTTCAAATAATAGTGACCCAAAACTTCCCGTATTGATGAAAAACAATGTACACATCCAAAAAGCTCAGTGAACTCCATGTAGGATAAACTCAAGAGATCCATACTCAGACACATAACAAGCAAGCTGTCAAGAAAACAAAGAGAAAATTTAAAAGCAGCAAGAGAAAAACTCACACAAGGGAACCTCATTAAGATTAATAGGCGAGTTCTCATCAGAAGCAATAGAGGCAAGAAGGCAGTGGGACAGATTTAAAGTGCTGAAAGAAAGAAAAAAAAATCAGCCAAGAATTCTATATCCAGCAAAACTGTTTTCTGAAATTAAGGTGAAATAAAGACATTCCCAGATAGTCAGAGAAATGTCCTGTTAGCAGACCTGCATATAAAAAATACCGAAGGCCATCCTGGCTGAAAGAAAAAATGACACCAGAGAGAAACTCAAATCCCCATGAAGAAATAAAGAGCACTGGTAAAATTAATTACACGGGTAAATGGAAGGCAGTATAAATGTTTTTTACTCTTAACTGATTTTAAAAGACAGCTGCACAAAACAATATAAAGCTGTATTGTTGGGCTTGTAACATACAAAGATGTAATTTGTATGAAAATAATAGGACAAAGGGAGACAGAAGGAGCTATATTGATATAAAGTTTCTATAAACTTAACTAGTATTAATCTGAAGCAGATTGATTTCAGTTAAAATGCATAGTATAATCCCCAGAACAACCACTAAGAATATAACTCAAATATAGTTTTTAAAAACCCACAAAGGAATTTAAATGAAATACTGAAAAATTTTTAATGAAAAAAGGCAATAAAGATATAAGACATAGAAAACAAAGAGTAGATTGGAAGACATAAATCCAGCCATATCAATAATTATATTAAATGAATTAAACATACCAATCAAAAGGTAGAGATTTTTAGACTGGATTTTAAAAAATATCAGGATTAGCTATATGCTGTCTACAGAAGACACAAGTAAGTTGAAAGTAAAAGACTAGAAAAACATACCATGCAAACAGTAACCATAAGAGAGCTGGATTGGCTATATTAATATTTTATTAAGACAAAAAATATTACTGGAAACAAACAGGAACGTTTTATAATAAAAGTGTCAATTCTTCAGGAAAGTACAATCATAAACTTATATGTACCTAATAACAGAACCACAAAACACATGAAACAAAAACTGATGAAGGGAGAAATAGTTCAAAATAATGGTTGGAGATTTCAATAACCCACGCTCAATAATGGATAGAACCAATAGGCTGAACAACAGTATCAGCCAAATTGACCTTACATTTGTAAAACGTACCACCCATCAGGAGAATACACATTCTTTTTTTTTCTGTTTTTTGTTTTTATTTTTTATTGTAGTTTGAATGAAAATTACATTTCAGGTTAGTCTCCCATACAAAAAATTTATACATACATTGTTATGTGACCCTAATTGCTCTCCCCATACTGTGACAGCACACTCCCCCTTTCCACCCCTGATTCCCCATGTCCATTCAACCAACTCCTAACCCTCTCTGCCTTCCCATCTC